TTACCATGTATTGGTAATATAAATATTATAAATAAAATTCAAAGTACAACTGGTTCAACATGTTTACATGTCGCATGTTATTATGGACATCGAGATATGGCGAAAATATTATTAGACTATGGTGCATTACATTCAATAAGAAATTTAAGACATAATTTAACACCTTTTGAAGAATGTTATAGAGAAGATATAAAAGAGCTATTTTTAGAACAAACAAAATCATATACAAATAGTTTTGATTATGATTATATTGAATGGTCAATGACTGGAGATGATCTTCTTAAAAAACGACGTGAATATCGTCAAGCAATTGATGTTTATAAAACATATGATAATCATTATTTAATATCAAAATTATTAGCTGAAGTTATTCATTATTATTTGCATGAATATCTTTTGAATGAAAAAAATAATAATGATGTATTTTATGATAAAACAATTTGTGAACAAATTGAAACTATCGAAGCATATTTTAAAGAAGCTATAGAAAAACACGATTATTTAACATATTTTATAAAAGCTTATACATTAACAAATTTCTTTTATAAAGTATTAAATAAAGATTTAGCAATGTATGTCTTAGAATATTTTGATACAACAAAAACATTTTCATCAAATTATCGTCTTGTTAATTGTCTTGTTCATCTTGTTACACTTTTAATTTATCATCCAAATTTTTCCAAATATCAATATCAAGGAATATGTTATCGTGGAATGAGAATAACACAAAATGATTTCAAACAATATCAACTAAATCAACATATATTAAATCGGGCATTTTTATCAACATCGATTGATCGAGAAATTGCTGAAATGTTTGCTGGTGAAGGTCAACAATCTCAAATGAGATATACACCCTATGATCATAATCCATTACAATATTCATGTTTATGTCAATATTTAATCAAACAAAATTCAACAGCAATTAATATAGAAAGTTTATCAACAAAACCAGATGAAAAAGAAATCTTGATTATACCATTTACAGTTTTTAAAATAATCGAAATAAAAAAAAACTATCTTGAAGATTTAGAAGCATCGATTTCAATTGAAATTCTACTAGAAGAATGTGAAGATCAAAATGAAATTGAAAGTACGAAAAAATATATTAGGCGATTTTTTTCTTGTTCTTCTTCTTTCATTTATTTTTAGATAATGAAACATCAGAAATATTGACATTATCTTCGTTTGATAATGATATTAAAGATACAAAAAAATATATTAAATTTAAAAAACAAAAATTTGTTCTGCGTAATATTATTAAACCAATGATATCAATAACAATATTACTTTTAATTTTTATATTTATTTTTACTTTTATTATTCCAAAAATTTTATTGAATAATCTTGGATATAATGTAACATCTGAATTAAACAAAGATAATATTGGTGGATATGAATTACTATTAGGTAAATATTAGATAAAACTTTATATATAATCGAAGTCAATAGAGTCTGAATGAGTGCTGGTGATCACAGTTTTTAAAGTTCTCTCTCTGATAAAAATTTGATGGTAAATTATCAAAGCCATGGGAAGTATCACACATCTAGGGGCTTATGATCAATAGTATATATAACCTAGTGAAAATATAAAAAACAAAATTTGAGTACATTTCTACTTATTCTTTTTCATAAAAGAAAGGTTTTTTTTAGTTATAAAAATTACTTCTTATAGGTTGTCCTAATATACTAAATCGATCCACTTGGAATGCTCGTGCATATTTAACTCGAATGAATTTAAAAGTATCACCAGTTACAGAGATTGTTACAAGACATTTAACAGATTTGAAACCAATTATGAATCAGCAAGATTGTATTAAAAAAATAAAAGATCTTCAAGATTTTCAAATGAATATACGAGGTTGGGCTGATATTGGCTATAATTTCTTAATATGTAGTGATAATCTTGATCAACAACAAATCTATAGAGGTAGAGGTTGGACATATACTGGTGCACATTGTATTGGTTATAATTTTCAATCTTTAGGTAAATATATCTTCTATTTCTTATTTTCTAAAATAATAAGTTTTAAATGAAAATGTATGTTGAATAGTTCCGAATTTTTATAAAACAAAAATAATTCGATCTGAAACACATTATGATTATATCTGAATGAATTATGATTGTTAATAGAAGAGTATTATAACTATAATGAGTGACTGACTTTTATAGAAAAATCGATATATAGAATTCAAGAGACTGAAAACAATGTATGAAAGCTCAACTTCAAATCTCTATTTTATATGAGTAATTATGATATATAGAATTTTAAAATTGTATTAATAAATAGATATTGTCTTTATATTCTCTAACATTTTTCATTTCGAAAATGAACTATTGAATATTAATAAAAAAACAACTATAATTTACATAGACTAATTTAGAAATAATATTTTATTTGTTTTTTTTTTGAATAGGTATTGCTATGTTGGGTAATTACAATAGTCGCAAATCTTTACATACATTTAAATCATTAATTCAATGTGGTATAAAGAAGAATTTTATT